TTGCTGTTAGGCGCCCCTCCTCCTCCTCTTCCTCCTCCTCCTCCCCATCACTGCCGGGTCTCTGCAGATTCATCATCCTCATCAACTCATCATTTTATCATCCTCATCAGTCACCACCAACCTCCCTGTAGAGTCCAGGCGCAAAGGGCTCTGTTAGAAACGTTATCGTCATAGATCATCTGTCATTAAAGCTGTCATGGTATCTTCATCTAGACACATTACCTGGCAAGCAGATAAGGACATTGATGGTGGGTCCAAGAAGTTGGGCTACTTTTCACATTATATTACAGTAATTAAGTCAGTCTTGGAGATGATGTTGTTAACTGACATCATATGAAATGTTATAATATTGTAAGCCCCATTTGATGCAGCAGGAAATGAAAAACAGATAAGTTGAACCATGAAGGGAATTGCGGAAACTGTGAATAGCTGCCTCTTAAAGGTCAGTCACACCTCATTTGCAGAACATAATTGAATAATTTGCCTGGTGCATGCAATGTCTCACGAATCTCTAATTGATTTCATTTTCAACAGTGCAGATGGGAAATATCCTGACAAGAAATATGCACTTTTAAAAAGCACTAAGCTTATACACACATCCACTCAATCACACGAGTACAGTTACCAACCGTCTTTGAGACGACCAAAGTCTGACAGAATGCAGAATTGTTGATGAGTGACAGATTTCCCAAACAGCTGATCTGCACATCCGCAGTCTGCTTCGCTCCGTTCTCCTGCAGAGCAAGCTGACAGCAAACGTGTCCCTGCTGACGCGCTGCAGCTGCTGAGTTTAATGAAGGTTGTGGCGGCCACACAGTCAGCTCTTAATGTCCGACGCAATCAGGGTGACCAACGCAGGTCACTGTACGCTACTAATGCATCCGTGACTAACACAAAGTGCTATTTTCCCGGTAGAATTAACAATGCTAACGATGCCGTGATGAAGAAAAGAGTATGAGGGAGAAAAAAACTTTTTTTGGAGATGAAGTCATTGTGCCAGCTGTGCTCCAAAGTGCACAGAAAAAGTAAATAAGAAGACTTTAAACTATTCCTTTGACACATGCAAAACAAAAGTCAAACTGCAAGGCTGTGTAACGTTTAAAGGCACATACAAATACAGTATTGTGAATGCTTTAAGGGATTTAGTATTTATATATATAAATGAGGACATCTCTGAAAACGGTCGCAAGTTAATAAAATATTTATTCTTGCTCTCTCTCTCTCAACCCTGTAAGCTCTTTCCTTCATCCAATATCTCACAACACCCACACCGCGGCCCCGCCAGCGGATCAATCTCTGCGGCTCGACCAGCAGAAAGTTAATATGAAAGAGGCCTGTTTGTTTATGCTTGGACATGTTCGTCTGTCAGTCAATGATCTCGGTGCATCTCTTCCGACAGCCGTGGACGCTCACGTCCCCGATGACCCCCCCCCCACCTGTCAACTCTCTTCATCAGTTCTAAAACTAATTTGAACAAAATTACTGAAAAAAGGCCAATCAGTGGGTAGATTGGAGTTTATATTTGGTCCAGGCCATCGGCAACCTTTTGAATACAAATGAACATTTTCACTTCATTACATCGGTTTATTTCAGGATACTAAGTGCACATAATAGTAGTTTCTGACTTAGAGTTGGAGTTCATCATTTAGTGATGTTCATCAACATTGTGTGTGTTTGTAAAACATCTTACCGCATTTAGAAACTGTGGCCCAAGATTCAAGATTAATTGTCATGTGAACAGTTAACATGTTACTCTTTACCAGGAAATTCTTATATTGCAATGTTCTAAAAGAGGAAAATATATAAATATATTCATGTGCATTAGGGATACAGCTAAAGTGCACCATGCATGCGTTTGTTGCACGTCTAGTCATAGATCAGTATGTGTATGTCTGTGTGTGTGTGTGTGAGGGAGGGGAGGGTTGCTGATGGCCTGCAGATGGAACCTGCTCGTTAGGCTCTTTTGTTCTGGATTTCGGACTCCTGTGGCGCCTGCCTGATGGCAGCAGGGAGAACAGTCTGTGCTGGGGGAGCGGGGGGAGGAGGGGGGTGGGGGTGTCCTTGTTGTGGCCTCTCCTGGTGACCTTCTGGTGAAGTAAATGTCCCTTAGTGAGATGACCTGTGCTGTTTTAATCCCACGCTGGAGGGCCTCCCTCTCCGTGTCCAAACCGGTGAGCCGGTCTGTAAAGTTGCAGACAATTTTGGTTGGCATGAAAAACTTCCTCAGCCTTCTTAGAAAGTACAGCCTTTTTTTGGCCTTTTTGATGATCTGGAGTTGTTCTATATTCATATTCTCTGATACTCCCTCTTAGGTTCCCGTTATTATTATCTATTGACAGCTAAATTAATTTGTCTCCATTTCTGACTTTTATTCCTCCTCTTCTCAGTTAAATTCTAGTGATGTTACACTGAGAATAATTATATTTAAATATAAATATTGAATAATTATATTAATGCTCAGTTGTTGGCCTAAGGAATCTGTAGGATTTAGCTGTGCATCTTCTCTAACAGACCAGAAAATCCACTTGGGAGTGACAACATTGTTGAATAAAAATGTACACTATTGAGTGACTTTGTGTTTTAATGGTAATGTCATGTGTGGGCAGAACATCACATTGTAAATCTGTAGCTTTACTGGAGTGAATAAAAGGATGGATCACTGTAACCCGAGTCCGTACACGGTCAGCGAGTCTGAGGTGTGACAGGTTCATTGAACCCAGAGAGTCAGACCCTTAACTGCTGTGCACACAGATAAGGGATGATTGCAGAGGAGGGCAGTCAAATATACAAATGCAAACCTGGGAACAAATGACATTCAAAAGGATCACGAGTAGAAAAGGACAAACAATCTACCAAAGTGTCTACCAAAGCTGTCTGAATTCAGAGAGAATATTTTCACAACCCCACCATGAAGTATTGAAGACAATCTTGGATGATAATTCCTGCCCGTGTATTCTGTCACACAGACCCGACTTGGCGGCGGCTTTGATCAACGTAACAGCTCGAGGGGACGCGACATCTTGATGATGTGCATGAGGAAAAGTGTTGGTTGCAAATTTGTTGCTGCGGAGTTCTTTTCAAATGTTTGTTTATTTGTTCAAGAAGTGTCTGTTCTATTGTTATGTATCCCAAACTTACGAGGCACTGTGACTTCATAACCACTCTGCAAACCTGTGCGACTGTTGTGATAATATAAACATGTTTAATCCTGTCACTGATCATACAAGGCAGATATGCCTGCAGTTACTAAAGAAGAAAGTAGGGCTGTTTAAATAAAATTGACTCAGCCAAATATAGGGCCAAACTCAGTGCTCAATTAAAGGAGGTATATTACGTTTAGTGTGTTTTCTTCAGAGTATATTTAGCAAAGAATAATAATCGTACCATGTAATGAGCCATTATATACGCGTCCACATTGTATTCAAAAATGTTCAGATTGATTTTGAGTTTCTGGTTACCACTCAGGTTGTTCTGGCTCCTATTAATTGCTGTTTAGATTTAAATCCCAGAGTGCAAGTGTTCTCTGCCACGAATGGCTGTCAACTTGAATGAGCCCAATCTTCATTGAGGACTTGTTTAAGAAACATCGAACAATAATTTGGGGGCTCTATCTTGTTGGATGTACTCGTTTTAATTAGTCTTTTTTGTCAATATAATCCCATCAATTTTAATGCTAAAAGATCTGCATCACTGCTATTTTCCCCTTTCCTGTCTTTCCTGCCTTTGCTGGTCGTGTAAGTACAGCAACGAATCTTTGAATCCCACTCTGGCCTTCAAGTATAAGGTGATGTATCTGAGTTTGAGCCCCAGCTGTCAGGATGATTTGTAGCATCACATGCTATGATCCAAATGATAAGAAATAGGACAGTTCCCATTTCCTGTTGTGCTGAACATGTTACTTTACTCACGGACAAAGTCATGCACATTGTATGTTCGCAGAGGTCAGAGTTCATATTATAACCGGGTTTGTGTTTAGTTTTTGGATCCACTTCAAAATAGTTTTTCAGTTAGAGGTGTACGAGCATCCAACCTGGAGGACGCTAAAGTGAGCAAACCAGAGGTCAACCACGAGCGGACCGTAGTGCGCTAAAGTGGGTGCATTGTTATATAAGATTGGCCAGTGGGGGGATTTATTGAATGGCTGGTTCATTGAGCAGCCAGAATGAGCTTTTCCCGGTGCTGTTACAACGCGTACGGTATCGGATCCGTTTCCTCTCTGGAGACAACTGAACCCTGACATCGTAGTGCACGGCTGGTGTGCTGTATGAGACTGGAAGTTAGTAGTGATTCAATTATCCAATATCTCAGGAGATCCATACTGGGTTTCCTCGAGGCCTTCAGCTGCTGTCGCAACTCCTCTGACCTGAAGATGCTCTCCGTCGGCTGACCTGCATCAATCCGACCCGGAGGAGAGCGCCGTTCCTACGAGAGAAGTATCCATGTAAGTGTACGTAACGCGTGCATGCATCTGTGCTCCATGTGAGTTTCCCTTGTTTTGAATATTGTCTTGCTGGTTTTCACATTTATTTCATAAGTGTATTCTATTTTGTAGATTATGATAAATAAATAAAATCAACAAAGATTCAAATTTTGTACTTGGACTAAATTTTGAGGCACTATTTTTATATGTAACAATAGTTGTACTTGTACTAAGGTTTTACCTAAGTAAATACCTGAGTACTTCTTCTGCCAATGACCGAGACAAACCAGGAGAAACTATATCACTTAATGTCATAAAAGCCCTGACAAAGAGTAATGCGATGAAAAATGAGTGAGGTAGTGTAGGAAATCTAAAATAACCTGAAATATCTTGTCCCTTTCAGGAGCAATGGAACAACATTTTTTTGTTGCAGTCATTCTATAATGTTAAGTGACGTGAAATGAAATTGTGCTGCTCCTTTATGTTGGAAGAATTCCAGCGTTCCCTTGTGGTTGCAGAAAAGTCTCTTGAACAAATGACTGCGAGTCTTCCTGAGAACACAAGTCCGCAGAACATTGACTTAATGAAAACAATATTTTTTTTATTTTTGGTTATGTATAACTTCTTATTTACACACATTAATATTTATTAAAGTTATCTACTGCTCTTGGTATAAATGGACCATTAATACAGATAAAGAAAAAGAGAATGGGATGTTGTGCAGATACAAAATACACGGGTTTACAGTTACAGTACAGTAAATGCAATCAGGATAGCAACATTCATGCACGAGAGCAGCTATCCTCAGGTCTACAGAACATACTGCACTCAATAAGGCATACAAGCTGCTGAAGTTACAAAAAAAGCCAATATCTCAAAGTACAAAGTTAAAGGCAAGCAGTTTTGTGGTTTGCTGAAATACTTTGACTTGGTACTTCAAGACATCCAGAGACCCGGATGACTGAGAATCTTCATAGACACGAAAAAGCCAAGTACATTAACTATACAGGGGAATGATGGGTGAACACGTTCCTCACTGTCTTGTAGAAGGTCAAGTGCAAAATCTTTTGGAAAGGAAAGGTGTAATTATGAACCGAACGCTAAATGGAGGAAATAAAAGGGAGGAATACATTGGCAGGGGATGAAAAAATGGCAACAAAAGGATGGAAACAAAAACAAAAATAAGGAAAACAAAATCAGAAAGTCAACTCTATTAGGGGCATGAATTTTTGCAATACTGAATGGCAAAACCATTAAGTGTTCATTTTAGAGAGAAAAGGCAACTGTAGAAATTACAGGATTTAAAAGTGCAATTATTAAATTGAAAATGTTTTACCTGCAGTATGTTCACTAATGGACTTTTATATTTTATTTTCATTTTGAGCAGCCATTTATATCTTCGGCAGGAGGATCCTGCTGCAGGCAGCACGTGTGCTTGTGTGAACGGGTGCCTGTGTATGTGAATGAGTGAGTGTTCATGCCGGCGCCTCTTTGTCTGTCCAAGGCTAAACTTTAGCTTTGCTGCAGAAAACCATCTAATATTTTTGGGTTCCCAGTTGTCAGCATGCAGTGCTGTCGGACCTCGCGGTTGCAGCGACTCACCCTTCCTAATGACAGCTTCTATTGCTTGTTTTATACTGCCATCAACCGCCTGCAGTGAGTGGATAACAGCTACAGGTGTTTTAGCAGTTAATGGAATGAACTCAGTAACTCAGCTGCTAAGCGCGCAGACAGCGTGATGATTTCATTTTAGTTTTTGGCAAGATTGTGTGACGTGTCTTATGTGATGACCTCGAGCGGATCCCCAGCATACATCATCGCTTGTTTTTTAGTTTGAATGGGGTGTGTTTTATGCACCCAGATCGAGGGTGGGGGGAGCCAATAATGACTTGTATTCATTGTTACAAACCCATATGGCGGAGATGGAAAGGTCTTTTTTATTTAGAGAAACTTGTGTAGAAGATCATAATTAGTTAACTCTTAACTCGTATGAAAGTAGCAAATTGTGAGATGTGGAAAACGGCTTAAGACTCGTCCTCGGTTTTGATGACGTGGAAAAGTGTGACATTAAAAAGGACCTGGTGGCCGTTGTTCCAGCCGTAGAGTGCGCGGTCCCTGGCATTGTAGTCCAACATAGACATGTGAAAGAATTGGTTGTGAAAAGGAATGTCCGTGTACTCGTATGTGGAGGTTTTAGTGGAGTAGGCGTAGTACACCTTGGCGCCGGTCAGGTGGGAGTTGGTGATGTAGAGCGTCCCGCAGATCATGAAAGACTCGCCGGCATTCCTCTTTGAGTACTCTGTGTTCCACGTGTCGAGGATCTGGAGCGTGTCCGGGTTCAGCCGGCTCACGACTACGTTGCCGGCGTTCTGGTTGGTCGCGTACACCGCCCACAGGCCCAGCTCGTCCGCCATCAGGTCGATGTCGGAGAAGCCCCCCCACGTGTAGGGGTACACGTTGTGGAACCCCGCTGACTCCAGGGCCCTTTGGGTGACGACGCGGCCCGTCTCGAAGCTGTACCTCACGATGATGTTGCTCTGCATCTTGTTGTAGTACAGAGAGCCGTTGTACACCACGTGGTCGGTTCCAGCCCATTTGAAAGGCAGGTTGTAGGTTCTCGACTCGATTCCAGACACAAAATCCGCTATGGATTTGTACTCTTTTACTATCTTGTTGTTGGTGTAGCCATCCATGTACCAGACCTGAGGAGAAATAAGTACACACAATGTTCCTGTGAAATCCTGACAAATGTAAAGTATTGGAGATGGCGCTTAAAAAGAGGATCATAGAACACGGGATGAGTCCAATCTCCATTGTGGACTTATTTAAGAGACATCGAACAACAATTTGGGGCTCTGTCTTGTTCTCAAGGATGTAATTTGTCTTTGTTCACCATTTTTTTGTCAACATAATTCCATCCATTTCAATGCTAAACGATCTGCTTCTGAAAGATCTGAATTACTGCTATTTTCCCTTTCCGAGACATTTGTTGAAGGCCAGAGGTTCAATGGTTCATTTTGGTATTGATATGGTGAAATTGGGACCAAGGAAGTGCAACTTCTGCTACCTCAGGAAAGAGAAAGAGGCTTTTGGGATTTATAGTCCAAGAATTGTATTTGAGAGTTTTTATAAACAAGATAAGAAATAATATAACAAGAAAAGCATAGCAAATAGTTGATCTCCTTCACTCTGTCGAGGATACTGTAAGCAATGTTATACATGAATAACTAAAGGCTTCTTCCTTTCTTGAGGAGCATCTTGACCCTCATTAACAGAAGTTAACAGGGTCATGTATTTTTTTATTTTAAAAGCCCACGTACGTAAAGGCTGTGCAATTATCGCGTCTGTTAAAGGCGCGGATGAAGGCTCTGTGCCATGAAGTGTTCCGTCGGGTTTTGCAAAAGAGTGTTCAGATGGACATCAACATTTATGTTTGATCCCAGCAGTTAAAGTGAACAAAAAAGTTTTTCATGAGCGTGATCTTGTAATTCATGGTTTCCACACACAGCGTAGACCATTCACTCGGCTCACCCTGTTGTTTTTGAGAGTCGCCTGTGGGTCCGTCATCCAGGCTCCAAATCTGGTCCCTGAAGTTTTCACAGTCAACGGCCCATTGATCTTCATCAGCTTACCGCACGCTGCAGACACATCGCACAGCTTTGGTCAGATGCAGCACAAACTGCTACAGCTCCACACGACAGAACTACAGGCAAAATGAATGATGGTGATACTGGCATTCATACAAGGCGAGGCTAAAGTTCTACATCTGGACGACATGGTTTCTCTGCTATTCCCAAAAATGTTAAGCAGCATCACTTAATTCACACTGCCAGGCTATTTCATTGGATCAAATGACGCGTTAAATGAAGTATTTTACCGATATTTCAGCTAATCAATCAACGCTTCAAGCACTGTGAATGTTAGAGTAATCATCTCGAGCTCAGGCAGATTTCCAGCAACGTGTTATTAGCATTCATCTGTTAGCTATTAGCGTGGACACTTTGACAGCCTCCATCAGTGTTGACAACATGACTGTTGGCAAATTGGTGTTTAGTTATGCAAACCATTATCGGCGAGAAAGCTGCTCTGAGGGCAGAAATAAGTGAGCTCATGCTGTGCTTCACGGCTGCCAAAGGAAATGTTTGAATATTCATTCTTAAAAGACACGAGGGTTCAAACCCCATTTAAATATCTTTTTTTTTGTTGCATTATATCCATTAGCCATGGTTTTCTAAAATTGGACCCTTTTTTTCGGGCGTTTTTTTTTCAAATGAATTTACATGCATCCATACTAAAGATGGAACCTTTTGTGCATTTAGTGAAGCGCAATCTGCATAGACTGCTCTTTAAAGTGCATTCATATCCCCCTGTATACTTGTTTAGAACTTTTAGAATAACCGGATCTGTATTGATTAATCAAGGCACTTGGTCCATTTATGAGCTCGGCTGTTTCCCTCCAGGCAGATTCCCCTCACTCGCTACGGTGGGGGGGAGGGGGGGGAGATCAATTAATCAATACGTGGGCCTGCAAATGCTGTTGATTTGTAAACGAGTTCTGTTCAGTAAATGTCTCCCTGTTGGACAGCCAGCCTGGAGAGGGCAGGTTAGTGACTCCCGCCATGTGATGCATTCAGTGTACGTGAGCCAGACTGTTTTATGCACTTAAGCTTCAGCTCCAAACTTCAATCAATAAATAAGAAACCAGAAGAATTCGAAGTAAAAAAAAAATAGACCTATAGTTAGCAATCAGGATTTTGCACTGTATAAGCCTGATTGCACCCCATATTATGCCTGCAGCTCGGAAAATTGTTCTTTGATGCTTTCTCAACATTATCTCTGCTTCCAGCAGCAGTTCTACTGTCCCCTGCCTTGCTGATAGCGGGAAGAAAAGTGTTTATGATTCCTCGGCCATCAAATAATCTGGGGTCACCACGCTGAATCTGCGTGTTCCGGGAGGGACTTACTGAGTCTGCTCATGCATTTGCGGAGACGATTTTCCAGGTTTAGGACCCTCTGCTGCAGCTCCTCGTAGTCGTAGGCTCCCATTTCCTCCTGGATGGCCATCAGCACGGCAGACAGGTTCCTGATCTCCTCTTTGAACTGGGAGATGAGCTTGGCATCTGTCTTGTATTGCTCCAGGACAGGTATCAGCGGTTGCATGGACTCCATCTTTCCCTTTAGCTCCTAGAAGACAGCAAAAAATATGTCACTTCAAAGTACTTGTCTTTGCAAATCTTGCAGCTGTTTCAAGAGGATTTTACAGGACAAAGTTCTACTTCTTTAACCGGGGAAATTAAAGCCCATTTTCTCCTTTTTCATATAGCTGGCTTTTCAAATGAGGATTTTGAGGCTTGACGGATTATTGTGATCTTCTACGGTGTCCTTTTACACTACTAAACGCAGAGTCTCCTCATTGGTTAATTATTACAAAAAACATTATTGTAAATGTTAAATAAAATAATCATTATCAAAATTGACCTGCTTATTATTGTTATGCAATTTCATTAATTGAATTATATTATGTAATTATTCTTACTTAGTGTTCAGAGATGAGTTTATGTAAGTGAAAACTACACTGAACATAAATATTCTACTTGATTCCTGCAGCAACATTACTCTTTGCCCGCATGTTGTTTTCGAGATTTAAACGAATCGTAATTGGGAACCATCTGGGTTGTCTCACTCTCGCTGATAAAAAAAATTACAGAATCCATTCTTGATGCTTTTTTCACAGCCAGTCTAAGTTTAAGAGCATTTTGTCCTTCGCCCGGCTTTGGTAGACATGTATTGATCCAGTCAGGAACTAAAGTTATCCGGGCCGTATGCTTCTGAGGTATCTTTCGATGACATACTTTCACAGCTTCTCCTCTGATGTTAAACCTCAAACAAAAATGTACCTGAAAGTTTTTGTTGACGAGCGTCTTCCTGTCCGATTCGATCTGGCGAAACTTTGACCGCAATCCTTTTATCTGGCTCTCCATTCTCATGATGTACTGAAAGTCCCTCTGCGTCCGCAGGTTCAGCACCTCGATAGACTGCGACATGTTCTGCACCTTTTGAAAAGAATGAGCGTTATTTTTTCCATCCACGGCATGATTAACATCCATGTGTAAACTGAAAAGCTTTCAATTGATTTTACATGCACACGTAACTGTTACATTGTAACATTCGGAATAAGTTTGTTTTTCAGTATGTCCACTTTAACAGTAAGAAAATGTCATGTTTTTTAACCTGTTCATTCTGCTCGGTTTGATTCATCATTTCAGAATGCATATTTGTCACAGAAAACATGATAGTGTCCCTCTGCTTGACAAAAGCTCAGAAAGAATGTGGTCATCTCGTCTCCTTTTCTTTCTTTTGACTGTAATTTTAACCATCATGGAGCACATCGCTGGCAAAGCGGCACAACACTCATTCATTGTGTTCTGCGTAGTTTTCTGGCTCTGGCTCTGGTAATCCTGGAATGGCCTCATGGAAGCCCTGCAGCAGCTTAGTGCATTAGTAGCCAAGGCCACAGTGAATGGCAGAAAACACCCTTTGGCGTAGAACATTCAAATGTAGACTAGACCAATGTTTCCTTGTAAGGCAGAGTGAGTGAGAAAGTGTTATTTGTGTGTTTGTAGGTTAAATGGCATATATTGTATCTGGAATTCTATCTCAACATTTAATTCACAACATTGGAGCTACTTTTGTGTGTTCAAAATGCATACTAAAAGGAAATTGTGCCGAATGGGGGAGAAAACTCTCAAAAGGTGGATTTTCTTTTGACAGCCACCCTTTGAGAGAAATAGAGTCCCTAATGTAAAAGCTTAAAGACTGATAATAATCAACAGCAATAAACATCAACAGCTTTTAATGGATAGAAAATGGTAACTCCCCAGTTCTGCTTTGGCTGGATTGAGAGTAGCCATCAAGCGGACGTCATCCATGTATTATGCAAAAGTGGAAAAACGGGTTATGGACCTGGCTGGTGAAAACTCTCTGGGGATTATAGCTACAAAGAAGCTCGACTAAAGATAGAAATACATGTGATATGTCATATGAATTTAGATGTGCTGGCTGCATACTGTGAATGTGTGTGTTTAAAGAGTCCGTGCATTGTTGCAGAACAACAGATGCACGTACCTTTTCCAGGAGCTGGCGGAGCTGTCTGCCTTTGGCGTCTCTGGAGCACAGATTCTGTTCAGGTGCGACCACTGTGCAGATACAACGTCCATCGGCATCTTGAGCTGAGCTGTACACCTGCCAACCGTCCTTTGGCCTGATGGTCTGCATGCAAAAACAGTCACACACATCTACAGGCAGACACACTAAGGGGATTCAACCCTAGTGATGTCATCAAATCACAGCTGGGATGTTGTCCCTATTTTTTGTCACTCGTCGTCCATTCTCCTGCCTTATGCCCGCAAAGTATATCAACAACAAGATTCCACTGAATTATAAAAAAAAGTCTGTGCCCGGCAGGAATACATTACTTTTGTTTTAATATATTCCTCCACAGAATACGGTCACCAGTGATTTTCCTCTTTAACATTAAACAGTGTTTCCTGGCCTTGATGAATAACCCGTTTGAAGGCCTTACCTGAAAGTCCTGCTCGGAGACGTGGATAAATCTGATTAGTGGAACCTTTTCCAACTTTCCATTACATGCAATTTGATTCAAAGCACTAGAGTGAAGCGCTGAAAGAACATTAAGTCATGCGTCATATTTGAAGGCACCAGCATCACCTAAGGTGTACACAATGAAAACTATAGTTTTGCTCCAAATATTGATCAGTGTCTTGAAGTGCTGGAACGTTTTATGGCAATCAAACACACAAATGGCATCAGTGTTTTTTGAGCACTACTGCTTTTTATTGTCAGCATGGGAAATTAACAAAGCCTCCAGCAAAATATTGACACTCTTTGTCTGCGGATGGTCAATTTGTCTGCACTATCAGCATCTTTGGCAGACAACCAACCATTATTTGGAGTTTGCTCTGCTTTCTCAATTCTGGCTGGAGAATAACTTTGGCCTCAGCGAGCCTTTGAAGCTTGTGGATAGAAAAGAGGAGTGCCGTGTTTTATTATTGCAGGCGTCCTTTTCCTTCTGCCATTCATCCTTACCTGTCAGCCTGAGCAGTTTCAAAGAGCGTTTTTGGTCTCGGCCATGAAAGATCCCGGCTGAGCAGGGGAAGATGTCCAGCAAGGAATTGAAGCTCATTCTATAGGTACCCTGATGCTATATTGATCCTTGTATGATTGTTAAATTAAAGGAATGAGGATTGAACCACAGTCTCACCATTACAATCTTAATTTGACATTATGTGCCTCCTTCTAAACCAGGGGTCTCAAACTCGCGGCCCGCGGGCCAATTGCGGCCCTCGGGACGATATTTTGTGGCCCCCGCCTTCATATGGAAGTGTAATGTTAGTGCGGCCCGCGAGTTCTATATTGTAGCAACCTCGCTGTTAGCAGCCACTTACAACCTCCACCCCAGCGCCGACCGTTCCGTTCGCCGGTCGGACCGTCAGTGTCATCCCCCCCGTCGGCCATAATGGTCTGGCCCTGGCCCGCGTTCGGTTGAGGTGGGCTGCATCTGGCCCGTACCTGACTTGAGTTTGAGACCCCTGTTCTAAACGGACTGTAGCTAAAATCTGCGTCTCTCAGAAACACCCTCAGCTCCGTTTCCCCTCATACTTTGCTTTTCAAAGCATACTATACATGCTTTGAAAGGCTCAGAGAAAGAAGCCAGTTTCACAATGTTAAAACTATCTGCACTGTCTCTTGAGTGACGCACATCTTACAGGCCCCCC